CTCCTATTTTAAAGGTAAATTTACCTTCCAATAGCAAACATGCTTATTTTCAAACTCCTTATCACTGTTGATATGCAAGCTTAACCTTACTATGTCATAAGCTGCGTTGCACAGATTTGAGGTTGCTGCTAGTCTTTTCTGTAAAGATGAATTAATTAACATAATCATTTTTTATTTTATTGAGTTGAAGTCATTTTTACAGTGTGAAACTTTCATTGAAAATATAAATGGATTTTGGATACTCGCTGGTAGAGATTACAGAAGAATCGAAAGATTTGTTTTTCTCCTCCTCAAAGACTCCTGAGTGTCATATCAGTTATTTCCTTTTGGTGAACTAATTGGTTGAAATTTTTTACTGTAAAGTGAGTATTTGTAGGGGGTTGGCTGTAGTCGGCCATTGCTGAGCTCGGCCGTGCCCCTCACTGTTATTCACATGCCAGAATATAATTGAGACCACATTATTGTAGCGTGTCCCGATAGACATGCAAAGACAGTGAAGACTTCTGAAATATGAGATATACCTGGCTCTACATTAAGTGTAAATATAATTATGCTACGATGCCTGTTTATTTTTGGTACTGATTTGTAACCACATGTGATCTCACAGAGTTCATGGAGCAAGCACTGGTTGAAGTTGACCGTCTGCAGCAAGGTGTTCGGGAGGTAAAGGCCGCGGCAGCTCGTCTTGCTCGTCACTTTTGCGAGGATCCCGATAAATTTAAGCTGGAAGAGTGCTTCAGGCTGTTTTCTGACTTTTTCCGCAGGGCGGAAGAGGTACGCAAGGTAAGAAACCAAAATCATAGAGAGAGAAGATGTCTAGAATGATTTTGGGTCCCATCTGATCCGGACAGTTTCACTGTAGTTCCTTATCCTGGGATGTGATGCTTCTGTGCCGTGGGCAGGAAGGACACTGTAATGCGGGCATTTTATTGGTGATTTTCTGTGCAGGAAAATGTCCAGCGGCAGAAGCAAGAAGAACGTGCGGCACAACGGACGGTAAGAGCAAACGTGGGGGGCGGTAAGAAAAAGTCGAGTCTGAAGTCTGCCAACAGCGAAGTGTGTCTGGTTGACCGACTCATGGAGGAGATACGCAGCGGGACATTCAAGTTGCGACGCAGCGAAGGGTGACTGTTGCGGTCGGCAGTCTCGGCAGACAAGATCGCCGTCGGCTGTTGTAGTCCCTGAGAGGTTAGATGTCAAGAAGCAGAGATAAACCAGCTTTCTAGTCCTGTTTAAAATTGTATGAATAATTTAATTTCATGACTGCTAGATGATGCAAACCAAACGGCTGGGGTACTGTTCTACTTTGAAAATGAGGCAAAAACTGAATCAACATGTCTTAAACCAGAAACAGGTACCTTGCGTTACTGCAAAATATACAGTGACAAATACAAGCTTCGTTGGACATTAAAACGAGGGGTCTTATCCATTTGCGTGGTCATAGCCTCGATTCCATAGTCGAAATGATTTTCCGAAGATGACGGCATAATAAATTTTTAATCGCATCTGTTGCACTTTTTTATGGGCACGTATTTGATCATTTTGTTGCCAGAATTAAACTTGTGTCCATTTTTTTTTTCTCTTTTTTGACTTAGTACAGTTCTGCTCATGGTTTAAATAGTCTGCATCAGACTTGGAAGCATGTGTTGTACATAATATTTATGTATAAAGTAAAAGTTAAAGTTGCCCTTGGTGTTAAACTAAGCGCTGCGCCATGCAGGTGTATGGAAAAGTGGAGGTTTAGCTCCATGAACAGAATCTCATTAGACGTTACACATTGTAAATAGCGTGTAGATATGAAGTGACCATCTAATCAACTCTGTTTTGTACGATAGATGTGCTAACTTCCTTACCAACTAACATGTTTGGAGATTTTATGTTTAATTTGGTGCACGATGTATAAAACTACAGTAAAGATAGAAATACACTTTGCATCTTCGGTCTGCATTAGAAATTTTGTACAAGTGCTCAATCAAGAAAGAAGAAAGATGTGATGAAGAGAGTGATCTTGTTGGGGGGTCGTGTTTTCTGGCACTGTTCCATGTACGTATCTGCTCTGGATGATAATGTCTGATTTTATGGTGATGATCTCAGAGATCTGTGAATGCATTCTTGAGATTCAGGATGGTTGTCTTCTGGTAGACGACACGGCACAACAACCCAGAAGACGGCCGTCTTCGGACTCACGCCGTAAAAACCTCAGATCATACGTTCTTGAGATTTATAGATTTTCATCTCAGCTTGAGTGTCAGTTGAGTTCTTTCAGCTCGTAGTCCCGGGAGCCAGCATCAAAGAGAGACAGTCGGTTTGGTTCGTCGCGGTGGAAATATTTGGAGTCCAAGACGCAACTCACAAATTTCTCTGTTGCTTTTGTTATGCAGGAGAAGAGAGTGAGGCGGAAGATTAAATCTGGATTCGTAGGTCATCTGAGTGACCACGAGAAATTGAAAGTTGGTCGTGGAAGTACCAACATCATTTTATTTAAAAAAATAATTTTATGTTCTTCTGTTCAGTGCTTAATTAAGTTAACTGGTATTATTACATAAAAATTTCCTTGAAACAGATTTAATTCAGTAATAATAACTAATCTCCTAAGTTGTGCCTGTGAATTCCTCTATATCACCGAACCTAACCTAACCTAACTTAATTATAGCATTCAGCCAGCTTTTGTCAAATTGTGGGTCCAAGATTGTGTACGTGTCAGATTACACAGTGATCATATATGTATATTTGTTTTAAATTTGGCCTCTGTTAGTAGTTGATCTGGCCCTTAATAATGTATGCCTGGTGAAGTATACTTTTTGGATGCTGTTAAAATTAGAAATTGTAGTTAATAACTTCTGATAACTCTTTAACAGTTCGGTCGGAGAAAGACTGCTGAGAAGGCAGATGTAAAACAACATTTTTGTCTGTAACAAACATAAGAAATTAAATATTTCTAAGTAGGGATGTGTTTATTGTCTCTTAAAAATCTTGTTGACTTAGGACCTTAGCACACCCCTCTTTCAGAAATCGTTTCTCAATGATTTACCTGAGATTCAACATGGGGATGAACTGAGTTTGTAGTTCAAATAAGTGCCTTAAAATATTTAACAGGACAGTATTAGCTATTTGTAAATTTTTTGTAGCAAGTAGTAAATAGTGTATATAATTAAGGCACAGTTTTTATCATAAATATTCATCAATCAAAAAAGCCGTAGGCTTGAAGGAAACTTGTCGGTCTGCTGAAAGATGGATTGGGATGCCCCAAACGATCCTTGTCCAACCCCAGTGCTGGTATCTTGCATTGATGATCATTGCCAGCTGTGTTTGTTTCACAAGTGAAAAATAAGGGACTTTGATAAATTGATGTGTAAACGTCTTGTTGTTATAATTTGAGGTTATGTATAGTTGTAATACATTTCTTATGGCCCATTCAAAGTTGTACAGTCCATCTGTCACACAAATTACATGTCCCAAGGATCACCATCTACCTTTATGAATAGTGCTTGCTTATTTCGGCTACAGGATACATGAATGTATTGAATACACAAAGGTTATATTTGATAATGTCGTCTTCAGTGAAATGAGAATTCAGTTCCCGACACTCGGTACAACTGTTCTGCCGTAACTTGGGGCAGATGGAACATGCGCTACCAGAACAAGGCTTGTGTCTCTGATGAATGGTGACACATCAGTTACTACTTTGCAAGCCACCATTTTTTATGACTTGGTACCGTATTCAAAGTCGTAGTTTCGCTCTAGATTGTTGAAGTGTTCCCCGTAAAACTCATGAAATTACTTTTAAAACATAAAGTTGGTCAGAGATGTAATATGTGTGTGATTTCTATGTTTTCGCAGTATGCATAGTTTTAAACTGCGAATGTTTTAAATATTTTTATAAACAGTTGTATTATTTTAATAAATGAAGATGTTTATAACAGTATGTGAACTTAATTTTAGAAGCTGTTCTGTGAAACAATAAGTTCATGCCAAAATAAAATAAATTCTGCACAAAACCAATGATACCAATATCACATTTATCTTTCTCAATATAGAAACTTGTCATATCTGCTTACAAACTGTCAACATTTATTTATACACTGAAAATGAATGTCATTATACAATTTTACTGAAAGGAAAATGTTTTTTGTTTTTTTTTTCAGATCTTTGTATTTGTCAAATACTAGAGAAAAAATGGGAATGCATTGGGGCCGTACATAAATTATTTACAGATTTCAGAAAAGTCTATGAGACTCTGAAGAGAAAAGTGTTTCACAATATTCTCAGTGAATTTGGTAAATCATAGAAGCTAGTGGGTCTAATAAAAATGTGCCTAAATGAAACCCGTAGCAAAATTCGAGTAGGTAAATATGTATCTGAGTCATTCTTCATCAAGAATGGTCTGAAACAAGGAGATGCTTTGTCTCCCTGGCTCATTAACTTTGCACTAGAATATGCTATCAGGAAAGTCCAAG